GCTAGAAAGAAAGATGGGGAGGTGGGGGTGGGTGGGGGGGGTGGGGGGGGGGGGGGGGGGGGGGGTTGGTATGGTATATAAAAATTTATCATTTTAAAAAAGGTTTTTATTTAAAGAAAAAAAATTAGCCTTATTAAAAGGACTATTATTTATAAGTTTTTTTCTTTCTTCTGGGGCCTGAAATGGAGGAATTTTGGTCAATATTGATAATTAAACAATATTTTGCTGAATGTGTTTTTGTGCTGGCACCTTGGCTGGTTTAGGTCTGTCATGGATAGATAAATAAATAAGACAATAAAACTGCCAGTAGGTGGCAGCAAGTCCCACTTTCAATAAATTATTTAGTGAATCAAATCAAACGATTCGTTCAAAACGGCTGATTCAGTCAGAAACTAAACAAGTGAGTCCATCTGAATGGACAGTTGAATCACTGGCTCAGTCAATTCGTTCAAAAACAGATTCATTCAAGGAACAGAACACCGTGTTGCCCTGCACTGTTGTATTAAACTAATAGCACATTTGTGCTAGCGCACATGTAATGATCAGGTGCTGATATTCAGAAAAGAGCATTGCTTGTGCAATGAATATAAAACAAAACTCATACATGGATATTTTTTGTTTCATTGCTGGAATTATAAGGGCATTCTAAGTCCATTCTAATAGGCTTCATCGCGCAGTGAATGCTTTTGGACTCTCAAGACGTGTTTTTTTTATTTTTTTTTTAAAAGTCGGATATTGTCAGCTCTCCTATCGTCTCTCAGTCCCTCACAGTCACACAGCACAATAACGTTATGTCAGGGGAATGTCTTTAAATTCTAATCAAGGAAAAATCATACCTTCTGTTGTCTTCGTTTTAAAGGGGTCATATGATGCTGCTAAAAAGAACATTATTTTGTGTATTTGGTGTAATGAAATGTGTTTATGCATTTTATAGTTAAAAAAACACATTATTTTCCACATACTGTACATTATTGTTTCTCCTCTATGCCCTGCCTTTTTGAAACGCGTCGATTTTTACAAAGCTCATCGGTCTGAAAAAGCGAGGTGTGCTGTGATTGGCCAGCTATCCAGTGCGTTGTGATTGGCCGAATACCTCAAGCGTGAGACGGAAATGTTACGCCCCTCACCATACTGTTGATGTCATGTCCGGCCGGAGCGATGAGGCAAAAACATGAAAACCATTACAAACTAGGCATTTGTTGCATCCAATGGGGACACAATTACTGATTATAATGACTTATACTGTCTTTTTACGCGTTGCGTCGCATTGCATCGCGCCGCGTAAACATAAAACTCTGTCTGCATTTGTGATCAAGAACTTCAAAAATTACGCTTGAACCGGTTTTGCGCGAAAAATTACGAAAACTTGCTTCGAGCTTGTGCGCAGCTTGTTACAGTAACGAGTTCTAATTGGCTAAATCGCCATTATTTAGTTGGTGAATTATCATAAGTAGAGAATTTTAACATTTTATGTGCATGATAAGTTTTACGTAATACACAAAATTAATAATCCAAAGGGGATGGTAAGGGGGGACGGAGGTTTTACAGAGTGACATGCTTTTTGTCATTTTTTTTGACCAGGGGGATGCCATCCCCCCACAGCCCCCCTCAATGCGAGCCCTGGAAACAAGCGTATACAAACACAATTGTCGAAGATGCCTTTCATTTTAATCACAATGGGTGAATAGTACCAGGCTGATTCATAATTTACGTACCATCCGCTCTGTATAATACAACAGATTACGTGAGCCTCAAATCATAATACATCGAAAATTGTATGTCAAAGGTCAGATTTATTTTACTATTTTGACACTTTTAATGATAACTATAATATGGGCAAATGGGATCATTGGGTTTTCATGGTGTACAAGCAGCGAGGCCACTTCTCAAGTTTCTGGAGGCATTTATGAAGTGGAAAGTTATTTCATGAACCACATATGTAGTGTGGAGGTGAAACTAACTCAAATGAGCAATGCTACAAACTTAGTGATGTGTGACACTTTTGGGACATTAATGGAATAGTTCACCCAAAAATGAAAATTTGCTGAAAATGTACTCAACCTCAGGTCATTCAAGATTTAGATTAGTTTCTTTATCAGAAGCTTTAAAATTCAAATGTAAAAATGTAAAGTTTAAAGCTTATTCATTTTAAAATGTAAATGTTGCTATTCATTAAACAATTCTATGCTATGTTTAATGTTAATTATTCTGTTCAAGCGTCATGCTGTCTGACACCTAAATTCAGATCCTTGTGTCTTTTGGGCCATATACAAATTTGAACTTCACCACAGAAATTGCAGCCAATCCAGGCGAACTTCTGTCAAATACCTCAGACAAACAAAATCATCTAACGCAAACCACAAAAGAACATATCATTACATCAAAGGCACAACCCTCAACCACTTCCTTCATCCTCCTTCCCTCTATCTTAGCGTGTTCCCTGCTGTTCGTCAATATTTTTGCGGCATGTACCGCTGCCTTGAGGGAAATCAATATCCATCTGCATCCCGGTCTTTCTGAACGCCGCCAGCTTCCATCTCATCCCATCATTTCAGAAATTTTAATGATGCCACAAATCACAGTAACGACCACCAATGTTTTTGAGGTTAATAATTAAGTCGGAAAACTAAAAAAAAGAAAAGAAAAAGAAAACACCCTGCAGGAAGTGTACAATGTATTCGGTCTCAATTTAAAACTAATTTGGGGGGTTGATCAATCTAAACCATTCGTCTGGTAGCTTTGAAAAGATCAATAGTGAAATTTCAAGAGTTACCAAACAGAACGAACATAACAGGCACATCAATATGAGATTGCACGTCTCTGTTTACGTCTAGGAAGATTAAAAATCGTTACGTCTGCAAGCACTAAAGCAGCTTCTGAAAACAAACAAAATGAAAAAGTTTGTTGTTGCCACACCTCATACAGAAAAGCTTTATTTCTTGTCTTCAGAGGTTTTAACCGACTGGATTGTATCTGCTGTCAGTGCGAGTAACACTCAAAACAAATTGACCTTCTGCTCCCTCTGGTGGTGTCTAGAGCAGCTGCATGCTGGGTAATTATTTGACAAACCTCTGAAACACACTTTACATGTGTTTTTTACCAACCTTTGAGCGTTTTCTTCAGATGCGAGAGAAGTCCTCCTAAACGCTGCAGGTCAAAGTAATCCACCTTCCCGTTGTAGAAGAGCTGAGGGGGGACGTACGCATCTGACGGGAACACAAATGGGGTCAATGACATGACATTCAATTATAATTTCAGTGCCTTAAGTTTACATTAACAGCCAATGCAACATTTTCATTTACTTCAGGTTTTTTATTTGCATATTTTATTTTGTATTTATTTGTATTTTATTGCTATTTGTATTTTATTATATTTCAAATTAACAAAAATATTCTTAATATTCTTTTTTATGAACCCTTTTTATAATTTGTCTTCACAAATATAATAAATCAAAAATGTAAAATTATGTTCTCACTAATAAAGAAATAAGCAGAGTTATTTTAGTTTTATTTATATATTGTTTGGGTTTTATAAATATTTTAAATTAGCTTTTATTTTCATTTTTAAATACATTTTTAAGTGACTTGAATTATATTTTGATTTACATCATTTATAATAATGTTTTTAAATATAACCATGTAGGTTTCATTTATTTTTATTTGAGTTTTAGTTGCTGCAACTTAAAATTGTTATTTTAATTTTTGTGCATCAACTCTAAAGATTTTTAGTTTTCATTGGAAGTTTGTCATATAATATTTTCTTTTTTATATATATTAGCTTTATTTCAACTACCAAAAAGATTTTTTATAGTTGAAGTTTTATTTAACAATACTTGCCTTGCTAACAACCCGTTTAAAAAAAGATTAAGGCGGCAATTCATACATTCAGTTACTTGAATGCAAATCTTCTGAAATGTGTTTTTAATTTCTGAATAAAAAGTTGTTTTGAAAGTTTTGGGGACATAAAGTCAAACATGACAGGGTGATACAACTGTCCTGATGTCATAATGAAGAAAATGAAATGCTTGTGTTTATATGTGAAGAGTTCATTTGCAAAAAACGATAAACGCCACTTTAAAAAAAAAAAATCGCGAGTTCGTGTTTTACTGCAGAAACCGACAAGCGCCCTTGTTGTTTTTGAACAGAAGCCGATAAGTCCATTTTAGTGAATCAGCGCGCTGTATTCATGTCAGGTGACAAGGCTACATTCACTTTGAAAAGACGTGCTAGCTGAGAGGAGTTTCGTCAAAGCTGACTAAAAGTGATCAAGGATGGATCATTTCGACGAACTTGATGAACCTGTGATATCTTCTTCAGGGCGAAAAAGGAAAATAAAAGCTGAAACGTTTTCACGGAAGCTTGCAAAAGCAGCGCGTTACAATGGTGAGGGAAAAGCTCCGTGTATTGCATGTAATCACAGCCATACAGTTTATGATCACAACAACAACAACGTTTGTGAGGCATCTACATTGTCATCTGAGGAGATTGTAAAGATTTAAACTCTAAAACATGAAACGTGGAGCTATCTGCTTTTGCCAATAAACGACTGTTGGAGTTATCTGCTTTTACTATAAAACAAACTTTTAATATGTAAAAAAAACATACTTTCAATGAACTTTAATTTTGTAAATTAATAAGTCCATTTTAGTGAATCAGCGCGCTGTATTCATGTCAGGTGACAAGGCTACGTTCACTTTGAAAAGACGTGCTAGCTGAGAGGAGTTTCGTCAAAGCTGACTAAAAGTGATCAAGGATGGATCATTTCGACGAACTTGATGAACCTGTGATATCTTCTTCAGGGCGAAAAAGGAAAATAAAAGCTGAAACGTTTTCACGGAAGCTTGCAAAAGCAGCGCGTTACAATGGTGAGGGAAAAGCTCCGTGTATTGCATGTAATCACAGCCATACAGTTTATGATCACAACAACAACAACGTTTGTGAGGCATCTACATTGTCATCTGAGGAGATTGTAAAGATTTAAACTCTAAAACATGAAACGTGGAGCTATCTGCTTTTGCCAATAAACGACTGTTGGAGTTATCTGCTTTTACTATAAAACAAACTTTTAATATGTAAAAAAAACATACTTTCAATGAACTTTAATTTTGTAAATTAGGCCTACCTGTATTATTTGTTATTATTAAGTTATTGTAAGTTATTATTACTTAATCAAAACAACCCAAATTCAGTTTGATTGATATTACTTGGAATGTGCAATAAAAAAAAAACGTGATTTCTGAAAATAAAAATTTTAATGGAGTTATCGGTTTTTGCAAATGAACTCTTCATATATATATAGTCAGTGTTCATGACTCCACCATAAGAAAGAGACTGGGCAAAAATGGTCTGCATGGCAGAGTTCCAAGATCCAAGAACCGCTGCTGAGCAAAAAGAACATAAAGCCTCGTCTCAGTTTTGCCAAGACTTTTGTGGACTGACGAGACAAAAGTGTAACTTTTTGGAAGGTGTGTGTTATTTTTTTTTCAATAAAAATGAAAAAAAAAATCATTTTATTTATCACTTTATATAAATGAGAAATGTGTACCTTCACTGCTGATGGATCCTGGGCTTTTTCTCTTGCCTTCATCCCAGTAGCTCCTGATGGCCGTGATGAGCCGGTGTATGAAACACACCATGTATTCAGGAGGACACAACACTGTGGGGTTCTGAACACACAAACAACATCACATCAATTGAAGCATGAGACAAACATCAAACCCTCCAATAAAAAGCCTGATCACTGCAAATTAACTGAAACAATCCTATCAATAACAATCCCGTTACAGAAAATGGCCATATTCATTTACTTCTGTGAAGTTTAAGCAGGGAACATCAGATTCAATGCCAAAAAGCATGCACTGAGAATTATAAAACCCTCAAGCTTCTTTTGTCTTTATTGTTACATCCTTTATGTCAGCACAATTTGCCAATTGATATGATACTGGAACTAATAAAACAAAAACAAAGCAGATGTACCAGTCATCAAAACACATTAAGTAACATATTTCTGAAATGTCCTGTTTGCAGCATTGATTGGAAGACCTTCCGTGGCAGGAGCTCTTTAAATCGTACCAAATGCTCTGTGGCGGGTTTGTAGCTTTTACTTTTGCAGAAATAGACTGTGATCTTATGATCTACTCATCACATGTAAAGGAATATCCAATCCAGATAAAGAATATCTAGATACTATGCCGATATGGAACATATATGGTATGAAGGAGGCCAAAGCTGTCCTGTGTGTCCTACCCCTCTATTGCTGGCGTTCTCTTGAAGGAACTTGCGGAATTTGTTCAGGAAAATGTATCGAGAAGCTTCGCCCTGTGAAAAAAAGAGACACAGGTAATTACGGCACACAGGTTGGATCAGAAACATTCACAACTTTTAACTGAATATTAATCGTTCTCTAGATGGCAATCGTTTGTGTAGTCTCAGTTAAAGGGATAGTTCAACCAAAAATAAAAATTATGTCATTAATTACCTTTGTTCATCTTCGGAACACAAATTAAGATATTTTTTATACAATCTGAGAGCTTTCTGACCCTCCATAGACAGCAAGGATATTATCACGATCAACGCACAGAAATGTAGCAAAGGACATCGTTAAAATAGTCCATGTGACATCAGCGGTTCAACCGTAAGTTTACAAAGCAGAGAGAATACTTTTTGTGCGCAAAAGAGAACAATAATAACATAATTTATTAAGCAATTCTTCTCCCAGAGTTACCGTCTTCCCCCATTTTGGAGAGTACCCCAGAATGTAATCAATGTAATCAGTGTTGTTTACATTCAGCAAAAAATCTGTGTTCCAAAGATGAATTAAGGTATTATGGGTTTGGAACAACATGAGGGTGAGTGATTAATGAATTTTTGGGTGAACTATACCTTTAAATTATGTTCTGTTGATCACACAAAACCATTATATGGCTTCTGAAGACATACACTGTAGTACTAGTTATATAGGCTATTTTTATGGTGAACTCCCAAATATAATAAACAAAAATCTCACTAAATAAAAAAAATAAAATAAATTTAAAGGGGTCATATGATGTTGCTATAAAGAACATTATTTTGTGTATTTGGTGTAATGAAATGTGTTTATGCGGTTTAAGGTTAAAAAAACACATACTGTACATTATTGTTTCTCCTCTATGCCCCGCCTTTCTGAAATGCGTCGATTTTTACAAAGCTCATCGGTCTGAAAAAGCGAGGGGTGCTGTGATTGGCCAGCTATCCAGTGCATTGTGATTGGCCGAATACCTCAAGCGTGAGACGGAAATGTTACGTCTCTTAACATACTGTGATGATGCCCTGTCCGGCCGGAGCGATGAGGTAAAAACATGAAAACCCATCACAAACTAGGCATTTGTTGCATCCAGTGGGGACATAATTATGGATTAAGATGACTTATACTGTCTTTTTACATGTTGCATCGCGCCGCGTAAACATAAAACCATGCCTGCATTTGTGATCGGAGAAATGACAAATTACAAGCGATACCCTACACTGCTCAAAACTCGCGTTTGAATCGTCAGTGGCAAATCCTTTAAATATAAAAACTTACTTACAGACTGTGAGTCAGAACAGCCGGCATTGTAGGCTACTCTGCAGGTTCAGGCGGCCGGCGGGCTAGAGTGAGGAACGGCCGGCGGGCTAGAGTGAGCAGTGGCCGGGCTTGAGTGAGCGGAAGCGGGTGGGCTTGAGAACGGCGCGGCCGGCGGATTCAACGAAGGAGCGGCCGGCGGGCTTGCGGCAACCACATGTGACGACCCCGGGCTGGACTCCGCTTCGTCCACGGTGAAAGCCGATCCAGCGATCCACAGCGCGAAGTTGATGTATTCCCTCAGCGACCAGCACGGATCAGCTCTAGGCATGACGAAGCAGATATCGTCCTCTTTTGGAAGACCAAACAAAGTAGTTTCGCTTTCACAACGAAACACACAGCGCCTTCAGGACATGGCTGCAGAGTCAACAACAATACTACAGCGAGAATAAAAGTTATGCCTTCTTTCTTTGCGTGAACATTTGGGCAGCGTTATGCAAATCTTCCCAGACAGTGACGCAGGTATGTGGAGGCGTGTTAGAACGAGCCGTTTTAGGTAGGCGTGGCTGACTCTTAACTTTTATAAAGAATATCTCTTTGGTTTTGAGACTTTAGTCTTTGCAACTTTACAGATCTTCTTTATGCACCAAGAGCTTGTAACACTCCAAAGAGAAAGGAAAAATTGAAATCGCATCATATGACCCCTTTAAGTAAATAAAAAAAAACTTATTTGGGCTAAACAACATCTTAGTTGAAATGTAAAAATACCCCCCCAAAAAAGGTTTCTGTTAGGGTACTAGATATTATGAAGAAAATTAATATAATAATAATAATTATATAAACCAGATTAATTTAATAACTAGATATTTATATTTTTGTGGTTTCATTCAATTTCAGTGTTAAATACTGTTATAATTCTTAATATCTTGAATAAGCCTTTATTTTATATTTTCTGTTTTCATTTAAATTTTAGCTTGTGCTTTTGTGATTTTTTTTTATAAGATTTAGTTTTTTCTAATTATTTCTATGAATATTTCTGAATATGTTCTATTCCTGTTATATATATTTTTTTCTGAATATTTCTATTTAGCTATTTTTTTTTTTCCAGTTTTAGTTTCAGTAATTATAGCACAAACCCAATTCCAAAAAAGTTGGGACAGGTAGCAATAAGAGGCCGGAAAAGTTAAATGTACATATAAGGAACAGCTGGAGGACCAATTTGCAACTTATTAGGTCAATTGGCAACATGATTGGGTATAAAAAGAGCCTCTCAGAGTGGCAGTGTCTCTCAGAAGTCAAGATGGGCAGAGGATCACCAATTCCCCCAATGCTGCGGCGAAAAATAGTGGAGCAATATCAGAAAGGAGTTTCTCAGAGAAAAATTGCAAAGAGTTTGAAGTTATCATCATCTACAGTGCATAATATCATCCAAAGATTCAGAGAATCTGGAACAATCTCTGTGCATAAGGGTCAAGGCCGGAAAACCATACTGGATGCCCGTGATCTTCGGGCCCTTAGACGGCACTGCATCACATACAGGAATGCTACTGTAATGGAAATCACAACATGGGCTCAGGAATACTTCCAGAAAACATTGTTGGTGAACACAATCCACCGTGCCATTCGCCGTTGCCGGCTAAAACTCTATAGGTCAAAAAAGAAGCCATATCTAAACATGATCCAGAAGCGCAGGCGTTTTCTCTGGGCCAAGGCTCATTTAAAATGGACTGTGGCAAAGTGGAAAACTGTTCTGTGGTCAGACGAATCAAAATTTGAAGTTCTTTTTGGAAAACTGGGACGCCATGTCATCCGGACTAAAGAGGACAAGGACAACCCAAGTTGTTATCAGCGCTCAGTTCAGAAGCCTGCATCTCTGATGGTATGGGGTTGCATGAGTGCGTGTGGCATGGGCAGCTTACACATCTGGAAAGGTACCATCAATGCTGAAAGGTATATCTAAGTTCTAGAACAACATATTCTCCCATCCAGACGTCATCTCTTTCAGGGAAGACCTTGCATTTTCCGAATCGGGTTTGTACTTCAACTTCAAGTTAGTTTCCAAAGGCACCAGTTTCTATGTTCTTAAATTTAATTTTTTTTACAATATTTATTTATTTTATTTTAGCTTTATTTCAATTTATCAAAATGATTTTTGATAGTTTTAGTTCACAATAACAACACTGTCCCATTTAGATTTTTTTTTACACACAAAAAAAAACAGTTTGACACTTTTCATGTAGGTCAGACTGGGTCTTCCTGTCTAAATGGGCCATTCTCTGACATTCCCATATCATACATTTTATAAATATAATAAAACATAAATGTGCGAGCAGACGTGTGCAAAACAAGCATCAACATACCATCCCCTTGTCTTTGTTGTTCAGCATTAACCTCAGGATCTGAACCTGCAGTTCCTCCACAACTACACACGCACACACACAAACAGGTTCAGCTGAGTGTCACAGTGACAGATACGCTTGCAGATCTGATGTTGTCTGTGTGACATACCCTCAATCCTCTTCTTCAGTCTGTGACAGCCGCGCTCGTACGCTCGCCGTCTCAACCTCTCCTCGGCCGTCTCCTCGCGTGTGTCCCTCTCATCTTTGCCCTGGACACGCGTCAGGAGAGACAGCGGAGAATTATTCATCTGTCGCTTCAACCAGGGCTCACTTCAGATTAGTGTTCGCTTGACGAGATCATTTCAGGTTACAGCTTTTGTGAAGCCTGTGTATATAATGCTATTCATATTCATACTCATGTGTCCGGATGTTTCTGACCTCTTTGTCGAAGCGTGTGGGCCACCAGGTGGTCGGGATGAGCTCCTCCAGCCCTGCCTCCTTCACTCTCAGAGGGGTCTTGATGTAGAAGAAGACCACAGACCGGAGCACGTCAAACGTGATGCTGTTAAGGAACGAAACCCATACAAATCCACAAGATAAATGCTTCTAACATGTCTGTTTAGGCAGTTCTTCCTTACAGCCAGAGAAAACTACTGGAAAGTTAAATCGAATGCTTGTACTATGACCAAAATTTTATCAAAATTGTAATTGTGTATAGAGTTTATATATTTTGTAATAAATCCATAAACGTATCTAACTACTTATATGCCCATAATCTAAATACTTACCTAAATATCCACATACCCATCTACTAAATATCCACCTATTTACATATTTTCATAAATCTAGCTACATAAATATTGATACAACCACCTCAATCTCAACATCACATATCTATCCATCAATCTATCTACCAACATATCTATCCAACTACCTAAATATATAGCATAATCTATTGACCTATCTACCTACCTAGCAACATATCTATCCATCTCCCTAAATATATACCATAATATTTTAACCCATCTACCTACCTATCAACATATCTATCCATCTACCTAAATATATACCATAATCTATTGACCTATCTACCTAGCAACATATCTATCCATCTACCTAAATATATACCATAATTTATTAACCCATCTACCTACCCATCAACATATCTATCCATCTACCTCAATATATACCATAATCAATTAACCCATCTACCTAGCAACATATCTATCCATCTACCTAAATACATACCATAATCTATTGACCTATCTACCTAGCAACATATCTATCCCTCTACCTAAATATATAGCATAATCTATTGACCCATCTACCTAGCAACATATCTATCCATCTCCCTAAACCTAGAACCTGTCTGACAAAGTGAAGCATGCTTAAAGAGCAACACATCATGCCACGATCTAAAGAAATTCAAGAACAGATGAGAAACAAAATAGTTTATATGTATCAGTCTGGAAAGGGTTATGAAGCCATTTCTAAGGCTTTGGGACTCCAGCGAACCATGGTCAGAGTCATTATCCACAAATGGAGAAAGCTTGGAACAGTGATGAACCTTCCCAGGAGTGGCCAGCCTACCAAAATTACTCCAAGAGCACAACAACGACTCATCCAGGAGGTCATAAAAGAACCCAGAACAACATCTAAAGAACTGCAGGCCTCACTTGCCTCAATTAAGGTCAGTGTTCATGAATCAACAATAAGAAAGAGACTGGGCAAAAACGGCATCCATGGGAGAGTTCCAAGGCAAAATCCATTGCTGACCAAAACGAACACAAAGGCTCGTCTCACATTTGCCAAAAAATATCTTGTTCATCCCCAAGACTTTTGGGCAAATATTCTGTGGACTGATGAGACAAAAGTTGAACTTTTTGGAAGGTGTGTGTCCCGTTACATCTGGCGTAAAACCAACACAGCATTTCATAAAAAGAACATCATACCAACAGTCAAACATGGTGGTGGTAGTGTGATGGTCTGGGGCTGCTTTGCAGCTTCATGACCTGGACAACTTGCTATAATTGACAGAACCATGAATTCTGCACTCTATCAGAAAATCCTGAAGGAGAATGTCCAGCCGTCAGTTTGTGACCTCAAGCTCAAGCACACTTGGTTTATGCAGCAGGACAATGCTCCAAAACACACCAGCAAGTCCACCTTTGAATGATTCAAGAAAAACATAATTAAGGTTTTGGAGTGGCCAAGTAAAAGTCCAGACTTAAATCCAATTGAGATGCTGTGGCATGACCTTAAACTGTCCATTCATGCTCAAAAACCCTCCAATGTGGCTGAATGAAAACAATTCTGCAAAGAAGAGTGGGCCAAAATTCCTGTGAAAGACTCATTGCCATTTATCGCAAATGCTTGATTGCAGTTGTTGCTGCAAAGGGTGGCACAACCAGTTATTAGATTTCGGGGGCAATTACTTTTTCACGTAGTGCCAGGCAGGTTTGGACAGCTTTTTTCCCTTAATAAATGAAATAATAATTTCAAAACTGCAGTTTATATTTACTCAGGTTATCTTTGTGTAACATTAAAATTTGTTTGATGATCTGAATCTTTTAAGTGTGACATATGCAAACAATTAAAAAAACAGGAAGGTGGCAAAAACTTTTTCACACCACTGTATATTGACATAATACCTATTTTATATATCTGAAATCTAGCTACCTACTAAAAATGTCTACCTTATGACACATCATAAGCATTTACCTGCCTACTTATCAACATCTACATAAATATCTACTTGCATACAAAATGTTCATAAGAAATAAATAGATTTATTATTCTTTACAATAAAGATAATAAAATACTCGGACACACTATGGTTGTCAAATTTAATGGAACAGGTCCATAGTTCACGTGTATGAAACATCGACCGTATTTTATTTCACCTTTCTATCCATCTACGTGATCTACAGTGAAGTTCAGTAGGTAATGGCCACAAGAATGCAAGAATGCTAAAATGCTATGAATATATTTCTTATTAATAGATTTTTTCAATTTTTTGGCCTTTCTGGAGTGATTTTCAAAAGGTAAAGTGTCCTATGAAAGTTATAACCAAGAGGATATAGGACGTTGCTGAGCAGGTACTTCCTGGACTTCTCATGCCGGAGTATCGCTGTGGTCAGACGAAGGTAATGAATCTGGAGGACAGAGAAAGAAAACAGGTTTCAATAAAGCTTCCATCTGTTAAGCACTGGCTGCCACAGTAATAATTTGGATCAACATGTTGCCAGTTCCCTCTCACAACCGTGGACATCAAACACATTACAGCAAGCTCAACACAAAGTGCCTCAGTCCTTTTCATTTTAACAAGACATTTATTTCAAATAGGATGGGCACACAGCCCATGTCCCTGCTGATAATTGCCATGAACATCAATGGGCCAGGAGGACGTCAACACCTCTCTGCCTCTGATTAGACACAAATGCAGACGCTAAGCGTGAACATGCTTTGAAGTACAAGTTCCCAGCATGCAAGAATGTTTTCCTTTTTCCTTCCTGTCAGCGGTTCTATCGTTCTCAGCACCAATAAACTTCAATATAACATTACAACAGCTTGGGAAATGGATTTGCATGAGAGAGCAATCATTGGGTTTCTCACCTGAAAGCCCAGATCAGGGATGATGGGAGAGAAACGATACGCTCTCAGCAGAGACATCATCAGCTGCTTCAGACACTCGCTCACCTCGTGGTCCTTCAGGAGGAGAAGAAAAAATTACAGTCTCAGAAGAATAAAACTCATATCCAATCTCATTCCAGACGTTTTGAGTCTGTACCTCCATGAGAAGCCAGAAAAGGTCCAGCAGCTGTTGTATAAGAGGATGCTCTTCGACAGATCCTCCCCCCTCCAAAATACTCAACAGGAAGTTCATCAGCACATCCTCCACTAAGTACACTTTGCACTAGCAGACACACACATTAGCATTAAATAAAGTGGTTTATGGAACAACGACAATGGTTTTACGGAAACTCTGAGTGATTTACCATGAGAGGTGCGAAGTGGTTGAATATATGTGCAAGGGTGACCAGGATGGTGGGATCTCCTTGAATCTGCCAGGCTCCGCTGTCTCTCTCCACAAGCTTTTCATCCTGATGAAAAACAAAATCAAATGTCTTCTCATTCAGTTTTGTTTTAAAGATTGATACATCACACTGCATTGTCTTCTATTCTGAAGCAACACACTCTACAGTAGGCACCTGTGTGTCGATGGAGGTGGACAGGACTGTCTTGAGGTATCCCAGGAGTCTGTTGGCTTTGATGAGGTCAGTGGTTGGTGGGCTTTGAAGAGGAAGGTAACCTTCCACAGGGTACGTGAGGAACAGATGAGTTAAGGGTTTTAGGCATTTGTGGTTGGTCTAAGGTTTCACATGTTTTGTTTTTAGGGTTTTTAAGGTATACCTAAAAACATTGTATGTGACCCTGGACCACAAAACCAGTCATAAGGGTCAATTTTGTCAATTTGAAAATCTGGAAGCTAAGGGGGGTGCAAAAAAAATCGAAATATTGAGAAAATCTTCTTTAAAGTTGTCCAAATGAAGTTCTTAGCAATGCATATTACTAATCAAAAATTAAGTTTTGATATATTTATGGTAGGAAATGTACAAAATATCTTCATGGAACATGATCTTTACTTAATATCCTAATGATTTTTGGCATAAAAGAAAAATCAATAATTTTGACCCATACAATGTATTTTTGGCTATTGCTACAAATATACCCGTGCTACGGTTTTGTGCTCCAGGGTCACATATAATTACATTATAATTACATTATATAATTAATAAATATGTCGGTCACACTTTATTTTAAGGTTCGATTCTCGCAATTAACAAACCATTAACTATGACTTTTGCCTCAATAAACACCAAATTCACTGCTTAATAATAGTTAATAAGGTAGTTATGAAGTTTAGGTATTGGTTTAGGTTTAGGGATGTAGAATATGGTCATGCAGAACATGTGCTTTATAAGTACTAATAAACAGACAATATGTTAATAATAGGCATGCTAATAAGCAACGAGTTACTAGTGAGAATTAGTCCCTATACTAAAGTGCAATATATTAGTTATTATAATATACTATATAACATATTACATTATACATATATAAATATTATATAAATAAATGTAAGTACTTGAAAATCTTAAATAATATTAAGCATGTGTGTATGTATAATAATATATTTGTAAATAATAAATCATATTTATAAATAATATAAATAAAACTATTAATGTATAATATATGTGACCCTGGAGCATAAAACCAGTCTTAAGTCGCTGTGGTATATTTGTAGCAATAGCCAAAAATACATTGTATGGGTCAAAATTACAGATTTTTTTGAGTTACTAGTGAGAATTAGTCCCTATACTAAAGTGTTACCATATATATCAATTAAATTTGTTACAATTTAAATATGCATCTACTTTTATTCTGACATCTTATAAATATATTCTCAAGTTTCAAGTTGTACTTGAAATAAATATTACATTATTATTCAATAAACATATTATATGAAATGTAAATATATATCATGTATTTCTAAAAAATAAATTATATTATTAAAACAAATCACTTAAAATGTTAGAATATAAATATGTCTTGTAAATTATTTTTCAAGTTTTCCTTGAAATAAATATAATAATTTTATTCAATAAAAATAGTATTAAATAAACATATATAATGTGTTTATAATAAATATATTACTTTATATTATTAATAAATAAAACGATTAAATATTACAAATTTAACATATACATCTACTTTTATTCTGAAGTCCTAAAAATATCAATTTATTGTTCAAGTTCGAAATAGTTGTATCTCGACCAAATATTGTCCTATGCTTTCAAAAAATTTACCCTTATGACTGGTTTTGTGGTCCATGGTCACATATGTACTTCTAATTACTACCTAATTAGATTGAATAATTTATGATTGTATGTTTTAGAATAAATTAAAATGTATGTCATACACATTACATAAAATCTGTATGTATATGCATTAAAATGAGAAGGATATCTGAGAGGACGGCTGCCGAAATTGAATGCTACAGACTCTTTGAAGGAAAGGCTGATTGCAGGGAAATATGCGACGCCTGGCCCCGTCTTAATATTGCTGAACGCAACACCAAGAGACTGTCCGTTACTGAAAAAGAAAAAAAATACTGCTATTAACAACAATTCACAGATATGTCCGTTAATGTCTACTAATTAGAATTTCACATCAGTTTCTCATGCGTTCATACCAAACTATAACGTACATCCAATAATAAAACTATACTTACAGACAAAACGTAATGGTTCCCTCATCCAAATCTATCAAACAGCTGACGATATCACCAGCAGCCCAGGACTAAAGCAAAAGAAATAAAAAGAATCAATAATGAGAGGCTTCGTGTTAAAATGTACTACTATGTATGGCCTTGAGTGGCTCAATGCTTTCATAAAAATGTGGCTCATCCAATCAGAATTGTGTTTGATATGACGGTTACGTAAGTCTTTAAACAAGCAAACTACGACCAAACTGTCAATGCCAAATAAAATTCACAAGCACAAATTGAGCCTGACCGCTGAACTGAATGTGTGAAACGCTGTGTTTTCACCTTGCCGTAGTTGGTGGTCGTCACGTTCCATTTGCGAACTCTGTTTCCGTCGTAAGCGTACGAGTCCGGCGTGTCCCCGACCCCTTCCTGAACACAAACACAGATCCACAGCGTACCGTATCTGGCAGTAATCGACTTGAACAAACCAATCTCACAGATGGATTAAAGGGATAGTTCACCCAAAAATGAAATGTCTGTCACTAACTACTCACCCTCATGTCGTTCCAAACCTGTAAGACCTTCGTTCATCTTCTGAACACAAATTAAGATATTTTTGATGCATTCTGAGGGCGCTCTGACCCTGCATAGACAGCAAGGATATTACCATGATCAACGTCCAGAAACGTAGCAAGGAGATCGGTAAAATAATCCATGTGAAATCAGGGGTTCAACCGTAATTTTACGAAGCTACGAGAATACTTTTTGTATTCTCTTTGTATTATTGTATTATAAACGTAAATTGCGTATGCTGTTTTGTGTCAGCTGCGTCACGTGGATACGTTGTTTTCGTTCAAATCAAAGCGTAAACTACGTAAAAAGCGTATCCGTGTGGTGCGGCTGACACAGAACAGCATACGCTGTTTATGTTCAGTGGATAACGTTACTCTCCAAAATGGTGCTAGGGTGGAGGAGACGAATTGTTGAATAAAGTCGTTTTTCTTTTTTCTTTTGTGCACAAAAAGTATTCTCGTAGCTTCGTAAAATTACGGTTGAACCACTGATGTCACATGGACTATTTTATCGATGTCCTTGCTGCGTTTCTGGATGTTGATCGTGGTAATTACATTGTGGTCTATGCAGGGTCAGAGAGCTCTCAGAATGCATCAAAAATATCTTAATTTGTGTTCCGAAGAAGAACGAAGGTCTTACGGCTTTGGAATGACATGAGGGTGAGTAATTAATGACAGAATTTTCATTTTTGGGTGAACTATACCTTTAAGCCAAATCTGAGATTTAAAAAGGATTTTAAGAGCAGAGCGAACAGTCGTCATCTAATCTAGATTAATCTGCGTGATGCGGCTTTGAAAGCTTCCCATGAGAGCTAGCTAACTATTAAGAGTGAATATGCAATCTGTACGGCTCCGCACTCCAGAATCGACCTCTAAATGGTGAAGTTACTGGCTTGTACCTCTTGGTTGAATCTGCAGTTCAGTGTGCACCATCCGATTTGCATTAGGCCTTGAGATGAGATGAGAACTTCATAGACCCATTTCCCTAAAACCAATAAAAAACTATTAAAAACAGTACTGCAGTGGTACTATGGTATAGTAATTTAGGTTGCATTTACTTCAAGGTACTTCGAAGAGCACCATAGAATTAGCATTTCACTATATGGTACAGTTTAGTCATTGAAACGTTACCTTTGTAAACACAAGTGGTGGCTCTGATGGAGCTGAAGTTACTGTGGCCGATGACCTTCAATCCAAAAAGAGAGGAAGAACAAAACTGAACACATTTAACAGAGTAAACAACACACCGGTCTAAAAAGTGAAAATTGGCCCCATTTGAATTCATAATACACTTTCCTGGTGTTACTGACTAAATTGACTTCTCACCATCAAGTCAATTTAATAGTGAACTGACCTGAATTTTATTTATTTATTATTTATTAAAATATTATTTTAAAGCAGACCTAGGGTGTATGCACACCAGGAAAGTCCACTAGTTCACTTGCTTTGGTCCGGAACAAATACAATGTTGATTTTTTTTTGTTTTGTTTGGTGCGGTTCGCTTTCACACTGCCCTTTTTGCAAGTGAACCAGAAACTGTAAACAAAACCACACGTGTGCTTAAGGTCATCCATTCATTGGTTTATCCATTCAACCGACCCAGAGTTCGTTTGGAAGCGGACCGAGACCCCCTCTTCAGCTGGGTCTCGGTGCGGTTGTTTGGTGCGCACCCGAGTGCGATTGCTGTATTCACACCTGCCCAAAAGATCCGCACCAAGGGGGGAAACGAACTTGAGTTTGATTCAATTGAACCAAACAAGACAGGTGTGAACACACCCCTAAATTATAAGTTTACTTGGCAGTTGTAAAATAAAATAAAATAAAATATTTTTTTTATTTTAATTTTATTTTAAATAAATTATTGTATTTTAAATATTTAAATTTATTTTACATTTTATTTTAAATAAAATGAAATTTTATTTACAAAATTTTATTAAATGTTTTTAGTCATTTATTTTATATTTTATTTTACTTTAAATAAAATAAAGTAATTTTCTTTTATTATTTTATTTTAAATAAATTATTGTATTTTAAATATTTTAAATTATTTATTTTAAATTTTATTTAAAATAAAATGAAATTTATTGAATACATTATTTTTTAATTGTTTATTCATTTATTTTATTTAATCTTTTATTTTATTTTACTTTGAATAAAAAATTTATTTTATTTTAAATAAATTATTGTATTTTAAATATTTTAAAGAATTTATTTTACATTTTATTTAAAATAAAATGAAATTTTATTTACTAAATTTTATTAAATGTATTTATTCATTTATTTTATATTTTATTTTACTTTAAATCAATTAAAATAAAATACAAATTTATATAATGTCAATTGCTCACCCCCAAAAGGTCATCGTCAACAAATAACAGCCCTTCAAACCCACTGCTGTGATCCAGGACAACAGTTGAAGGTCCAAGACAGCCTTCTATCTGATCTGTACAGAAAAAGAAATAAAATTTCAAATAAATTAATATATCAATATATAATAATGGATCTATTAGATATACAGAATTATATATGAAATAAAATAATGAAAACATGGCTGAAAACATTACTACAATCAATCAATAAACATAAATTAGCACATAAATCAACGAATAAATAAACATATTTGGGGTACAGTAGATGTCAATAATAACTGATGAATTATTAATAAATATTACATAAAATAAGTGTTTTTTTCAGCAAATACATTAAATTTCCCAGTAATTTGTGAGACGCTCAGCAGTGTATGTGTAAGTGTTTGACCTCTGCTGTCCTCAGTGACATTATCTTCAGCCAGCAGCTTCTCCAGATGAGCTCCGAGATCCTGGAACATCAGGGTTTTCCTACAGGGACGAGACACGACACCGGTTCAACTGATCCGCACATGACCACTCACGTATCACAACATCATACCAGATGAGCGGCGCTTGTCAGCTCACACACACTGAAGAGACTAGACAACGACCGACTGATCCAACTAGACATATCAGAGAAAATAGAATGCATTTTATTTATAAAGTAAGCGATACATTGAAAAGATGGGATTCAGAATAGAATTACAATTTGGAAATAAACGGAAATCATAAGCGTTGAATTTATATTTACATTAAAAAAAGAAAAGCATTCAAATGATGCTCTCAAATTTCTTCCGAGCTAAATATCTGTGAATAAATGAAGTTTAGTGTCACATGGCAGCAATGCTGTTTTATGCAGTGCTGACAGACGCCCATCATGACGCCTGACATGAAATCCAGCATTAGAGATGAAGATATGTAAACACATGAGCCGCTTCACTGCTCTGTGAGTGTCAGCTTTCTCTCATGTCCCATCACGCTCTATGTATAGATCAGCTCCAGTAACCAGACACTGGCTGGGATCAAGAGCGGGACGAGGCCAGCAACTTCCACTCAAACAACTAATGCAGCAAACTTCATTTCTTCATGATTTGTTACGATCCGCCGAATAAGTTAAACAGAGTAAAAAATACTGATGACTCATCCTGCCCTGCACAGATTTCTGTCCAATCAGATGCCCTCTAGAACAAGAAGCCCCTCCTCCTATAACCAGCTGCACTTGATTAACATGAAGCAGATCATGCTTCAAAAACATGCAGGTGAAAAAATGAATTCACAATTCAAAACTAAATATGACATCAAATAATATGTAAGGGCCGAAGACAAAAATAGGTTTTCAAGAATTAAAACAATAAAAGTACAGCCATTCAGTGTAACAATAGCTACTTTTCCCAATATACCAAAAATCTTGTCAGGCATATTTAAAACGAGTACACAGAGGTGACATTAATAGACTCGATTTAAGGATCACAGCCCTAAAATACTCACAAATTGTTTAAAATATGCATGAATGAGTCAAATGGTTGATTTATAGGCAGGGAAAACAGTAATCCACTCATTCACTCACACACCATCATTTCAAAAACACCTTAAAATGACTTGAAATGTAAGAGAGCTTAAGATTAAATTGGCAAGCAATATTTACAGAGGATTTGATGACTAATGATCTAAAAATGTGATTAATAATATTGTGAAATTGTTAAATAAAACAAAATATACAAAAACACATATGATTAATTACACATATAATCAAAAGCAATTTGCTGTGGAAAACAGTTTTGTGAACTTAATATTTGTGAGCCTGGAGCACAAAAGCAGTCTTAAGTCGCTGGGGGTATATTTGTAGCAATAGCCAAAAACACATTGTATGGGTCAAAATTATTGATTTTTCTTTTATGCCAAAAATCATTACACTCTAAAAAAATGCTGGGTTGTTTTCAACCCAACTTTGGGTCAAATATGGACTAACCCAACCGTTGGGTTAAATTTTTACATTGAATTTTTAACCCAAAAGTTGGGTTAGTCCATATTTGACCCAAAGTTGGGTTGAAAACAAGTAAAGATCATGTTCCATGAAGATATTTTGTAAATTTCCTACCGTAAATATATTAAAACTTAATTTTTGATTAGTAATATGCATTGCTAAGAACTTCATGTGGACAACTTTAAAAGGAGATTTTCTCAGAATTTCAATTTTTTTTCGCACCCTCAGATTCCAGATTTCTAAATAGTTGTATCTCAGCCAAATATTGTCCGAACAAACCATACACCAATGGAAAGCTTATTTATTCCGCTTTTACTGTAGATGATGTATAAATCTCAATTAAAAAAAAAATTCCCTTATGACTGGTTTTGTGGTCCAGGGTCACATTTTTTGTGAAAACTACCATTCAAATGTTTGGGGCGAGTAAGATTTTAAAAAACATAAATAAATAAATCAATTAAATAATGCGATATTCAGCAAGGATGTATGAAATTGTTCAAAAGTGACAGTACAGACTTTTATAATGTTACAAAAGATTTCGGTTTCAAATAAACGCTGTTCTTTTGAACTTTCTATGCATTAATAATCCTGAGGGGGGAATAAAAATCATCACGGTTATCATGAAAATAGTGATAATTTCAACACTGACATAACATAACATAAGAGCCATTACTAATAATTGAGCATCAATAATATTTGAGAATAACTGAGTAGCAAATCAGCATATTGATGAGACACTGTGACACTGAAGACTGGAGTAATGATGCTGGAAATCAGCTTTGATCACAGGAATAAATGACGTTTTACAATATATTTACATGTTAACCTGCTTCACAGCATTGCTGTTTTTACTGTATTGTTGATCAAATAAATGCAGCCTCGGTGAGCAGAAGAGACTTCTTTCAAAAACTTTAAGAAATATAAATTATTTTTCAAACTCCTGACCGGAAGGTAGTGTGTGCATGTGCTTATGTGTATGTTTGTGCATACAAGGCAAACGCCCCCGCAAAGGAACATTCTACATACAAAAGGTCAACCCAAAAAGACCCCAAAACAAGGAGGACTCTTGGGTAATCCACTAACCTGTGCGCCGCTGATGCCGGTCCCGTCTTACTGGAGGCAGGAAACACATGGTGCAGATAGTCGCTCAGTAGCTTCTCATTCACAATTCCTAAAAAAGATATGTACATTTGATGATTAATCCATTTACAGTGGGTTTACATCAATAAAATCTCTTTATAAGGACACACCTGTGACTTTGGGTTTGTCTGTGTCGGATGCCAGGCGATAGCTGCGTCGGGACAGGACAGTGCCACCCTTTGAGCTCATACTGCTACTAGACAGATCAATTATAAAATCATAATTAACTATAGTAAACATTTATAGCATTACATATAGCATCCTCTAGTCTAATAACAACAGGATAAAGAATAGGATAAAGAATACAGATAGGCTAACTTACATAAAATGCTGACTAGTAGACTAGAAATTATTTTGACAACAGTCTCAAACTACAGTGAAACCTGCAAATAACTTGTAGTTTCAATGTTTACATGCTGTTATCTGAGCAAACATATACAAACATACACATAACATAAACATACTCTCTCTTTAGCCACTCTCCCGCTAACATAGGCCGTGTTTAATGTGTTCAAATATCATTTAGTGACTGTCGGGGGTCTAAAATGCCCAGCATATGCGCAAGAAAACCCATATTTAATGTGTTTCAGCCTCCGTGTTGAACACATATGACAGCCAGAGCTGCTACGATAACATGTCAAATACAACATACACCGATAAAGCGACGTTAACGCTTGTCGTTTGGTTAATTTCTCCTGCAGTACTCACTGGTTTGGTGTGTTGTGTATGTTTGTGATCAGCAGATTGCTGTTGTTGGGCTCTCCTCTTTAAATGTGTCTACAGTCACTGCCTTTAAGCATAGAAATACAAGAAGCGGTCGGATGACCGTGAATGAACTGTGTGATAAAATGGGCGGGGCTTGGTGGCCCGGAGAGTGTCTCTCATTAGTCACGATGGATTTATATTTTAAAAATTCTAATTTTATATTTTCTCTGTTTGATTTTATCTCAGCATTATTTGTATTCTCTGCTGTCGTTATTTATGTGTAAATTATTGTCCGGGACGCAGTTTCAAGTATTTCAGAGACGGCGTGTTTTCTGTTACTTTTCTCATCTCTTTTTGGGATGGACCAATCAGAGACGTTTTGCTTACAACATCGCTTCACAAGCGGGTGTGTATTTTATACATCAAGTGTCACTATTTGGAATCAACCGATTCTAATGTTTATACAATTCAATATACAAAATTATTATTTAACACAAAAGGATTTGAATACGATTAAAGGCATTATGAGCCATGAAGAGCCCTCTGCAGGAATTTAGTTGTGTGACTCTTTTAACACATAAGGATTCACGGCTATGGGGCGAGTTTTAGGCCAAAATATGTTTAGACATGAACGAATGCGAACCATAAAATCCATAAAAGACCACTGGGTGGCAAATGTTTTTCCAAAAAGTTATTCCTATAGGGGACGTTAGAGGGCTAAAAAAAACGGATTTATATTAAGTTAAATCTATTAATATGAATCTATTCACTCTGCATCTGATTAAATTAGGATTGCATCCTAGTAAGCACAAACGGCAGTGATTGGGCCACCGTGAACAGCGCTGAGAAAAGCAACAGTTGTTGATGACTCTTCAGCAGCATTCTGGACATTAATAATTAACGCCTCAGTCCTTAAATAACCATTACATTTAAAAAGCACAATAAAATGTTATAGAAAATTATGGCATTTGGGCGTATCATATCTAAAACGTTAGCTACAATACCTAGAATGGTAAGAACTGAGCGCTTCAGTGTCATAACTGTAATAAACGTGTATTAATAGCTAAATTCCGCGGGCAAAAAGGTCCATATTGTCAATAGTGTAGCTGTGTATGAAATAGCTTAAACAAAATTCAGTTTTAACCAAGCAGCTTGCAAGATCTGTTAAGGAAAAATGGAGGCCTTGCAGGTACTTTGACTTGTTTTGTTGGGAGATGAATGTTCCTTTGATCCTGAATTTGAAAAAAAGTGGAGAAGGTTTACAAACAGAACTTGTTGAGGAACAACACAATATATAAAACCATGAATAACATTACCATCCGGAACGTGTTGTCCATCACAACCTTCATCTAATGTAGGTCTTTTAGACATCTCAGGCTCTGGTGTTTCTTCTTCTTGGACCGGGACAGGAGACTCGTCCTGACTGTCATGGCTTGAGGCCTGCGGCGGCTCTCCTGCAGCATCTGCCACATCTGGAGGAGAACTGGCTCCCTCAGGAGAAGGCTGAGGGTCGGTCCTCACAGCTGGACACACGCTGTTTTCTGTGGCGATTTGTGTTTCAGATGAATCCGACACAATGACTGGCTTTTGAGGAGAGTTTTGTAAGGTATCCCTCTCAGGTTCTGAGTTCTCAGTGGCTTTCTTCTTACGCAAAGGGCTTTGCGTAAAACAAAGCGGTTTTCTTTTCGTGGGACTCTTCTTCACGAGTTTAAGCTGGAGGGGCTTTAGAAACCGATCCCTCATGGACTGCCAGCTGTGCTCGGTCACGCGCCGTTTCTCCATCTCTTTCCAAACCAGGTTGCCTTTGGCTTCATGTTGCCGCTTTTCCATGAACTTCAAGATGGCTGCGTCGTCTTCAGGCGAGTAACCCAACCGCCCATTGCTCTGATGACGGGTCGCCATCCTCGTCTGGACAGATGGTCCCGCGCTAATCACATAGTCGTCCAGATTCAACAGCTGGTTCTGCTCTACACAATCTTTGATGTATTTCGTAGAGACGTACTTTTGTCCGGAGCTCGCTGTGACAGTAGTTGCGTCACCGGGATCGATCAGCAAAATGGCTCCGGGCTCTTGATTGCGACACAAAGTGCCTCCCCCGTTAGTTACCAGAGGGTAAAGTTGTGTTTTAGTTGGGCCGGGTCTCACATAGAAGCGCATTGATTGTCCACTTGTGTCCAGGAATAAGACAGGAGAAATGTCAGAGACCTCCTCCTTTCCCTTCTTTGACATGGTGAAGGTTATCTGGGGGGTAAATGAGAAAGCTCTTTCCATATCAAAGCTTAAAAAAAGACATTAGTTTGGTTTGAAATGAGAAAACAATAGATGCACAGTTCAAAATTAGGACTATATGGTATTGTGATGATTTCTGGCTTTGCAAAACGTTTAATCTTCTAAATCCTTACATAATTCATTCTTTGACTCGTTGTCTTTACTATCCGACATTACGCTTATTTATAAACATGTGAAAAAAATGCTATAGTAATTTATAGTAAATATAGTGTTTTTGAACCATACTATAGTAAAGTGTATTATACTAGGGATGCACCGATATGAAAATTTTGGCCGATACCGATAACCGATTATTCTTTATTTTTGAAAGCCGATAACCGATATGTTGGCCGATAAATCTATATCCAAATTGTTATATACTTATGTTAAAAACATCTTGAATGCTGTTAAAGATAAAGTTGAAATTATATTACACAGTCCGAGCTATAAAAAAAAGCACATTTTGTTAAAAAAGAGAAAAGTTGGGAGGCTGTATCAAAGCATAGCTCAGTAGCTTAGTACATATAAGATGCATAAATGTAGTTTCATTTGTCTGAGTACAAGGTTTTATTTTTTCAATTTTGCACCCTGTTTTGTCCCACTTCTCAAGAATGACTGAAATACTTGTTTATTGAACTCTTGTGTAAAATTAATGTATCACACTTAGTCTTACTGTAGTGCTATATATTAACATGGACATGATAATCGTGCTTTCCTCAACGTCAACAGAATCATATTTCTTATTTCACAAAACCTTTACATCATTTGCAGTAGCCGATCTTTATAATTATTAATGAATAAACAATTAATAATTATTTTTGCCATCTGTCCGGCGACATTAATTATATGTTTAATATTAAAGCTACTGCATACACTGTTATGCTACTGTAAATGTTGCTGACTCGAATGTGCAAATCTTGTGGCATCTACGAGTATATTTGGGTTAAATATAAAATATAATAACAGTGTGAGGATTTGTTTCTTTAATTATAAATATAATAGTGTGAGAATTTGTTTATTTAAATATAAAATACAATAACAGTGAGGACTTGTTTATTTAATCAATTTGGAGTTATGAAACAAACAACATAAACATTTGAATGTGAATTTGAAAAAAAAAAGACACATTGAGATGAAAGATTTTGTACTTTATTGAGACTTATTGAACTAACTGAAAGTCATAATACAAAGAACCACCGAACTATGACGTGAAAAATGGCCTGAAGCCCAGCCCGAGGGGCGTACAAAAGTCAGGCTGAAATGCAGGGCTCTAGTTGTTGTCACAGAAAGTGCGAAGATGAAGAGGATGAAAGCTGATTAAAAATACAAGCATATTAAACAAGGAACAAACAGACATAACAGTGTGAACTGGCCACAAACAACCGACAACTGAAAGGTGAAAAAGAGCAGATTAAATACAGGGTAAATGAGGAAATAATGACAAAAACGTGTGATAATTAAATGAATAACCATGACAACCAATATGTGGCGGGAAACTAGAACAAAGGACAAAAGGAACAAACAAAAACAAACTAGAAGTCCATGAAAACAGAAGCTAAAAAAAAACAACAACTGAAAATCTATGACACCTACTTATAGTTTTACCCCCGGTTTCACAAACAATGTGTATTGAGGCTTATTATAGAGCAATCTAGTCTATTTAATGTTGGTCTGTTAGATTTGAAATATTTCTGT